GGGGGGATATATTGTGTGCAGAAACCACCCTGTTACAGTCGGAGACCCCCGGCAGTGACAGTGGGACTTGGGTGGTGGTCACCAAAAGGGCTTTGGGAGGAGAAACCTTAATCTGCTAACCCTTGCTGCTCCTCTGTGAACGTTAACGGATGCACTGGGAAAAAGGGACATTTCAGGTGGCGCTTGTACTTGTTCCTTCAGGGTTAAGGAGATGCCTGAGGAGGGCTGATGCCCAGTTTCTCTTTCCTTGTATCCTGTGATCCTCATTTTCAACACAGTAGTCCCTAGAAATGCTGCTGTGTCCGGTTTTGGTAGGTGGTGGTAGGGTATCACACTTTCTTCCCGTTATTCAAATGAGCTGATGACTAGAAAAGGGGGGGGGGAAATAATTTACAGTTTGGTTTCCAGCCTCTCCGTGGAGAAAAAAAAAAAAAAAGGGCATCATGATGATCCTAACTCTAGAAATTATAACTGTGCAATCCCACGAGCTGTTATCATCACTACCTCCCCGGCCTGCGCTGCACGGGGCTTTGACAGCTCAGGGTCAGCCCCAGGCGGCTCCTACTTGAGCGTCGTCGAAGAGCAAAAAGGAAGCGTCGAAGGGTGAACTCGAAGGCAACGGCTTGCGCTGTGGGCTCAAATGAAATATTTATAGAGCACTATATACACAGCTGCGGAGAGGCTTTCAAAATGGGAAACACTTGAAGCAAAACGTGGCCATTTGGATCCAGAAGGCCTTGCTTTCGAGCATTTCCTAGCAAAAACAAACCAAAACCAAAAGGCACGTACACCAAGAGCTGTTTCTAGTTTTGCTCATCCATCGCAATCCCTCTGCCACCTTTTTGGCTCGTTTGGGGCAGTTTTTGTCAGTAAGGGACAGAGGGGGGTATCGTGGGAGGGCGTATGTGCGTGTGGACCTTGGCGGAGGATACTGCCCAGTGGCCAAAAGGAAAGCAGAGGTGGCCTGGCAGGAGGTGGGTTTGTCTAGCAGCTCAGTTTTGGGAAGGGCTGGGGTATGCTTGCTGGGGATTGCTCCTGAAGTAGCTCCACAAGCCTGCCTGAAGCAGCAGGTACCTGTGCTCGCAGAAGGAAGAGGTTATTTGCTTTATTTTTCTTACCATTGCGGTCTGTACCTACTATATAGAGTCATAGAATCGTTTAGGTTGGAAAAGACATTTAAGATCAAGTCCAACCGTTACCCTAACCCTGCCATCCCACCGCTAAACCCTGTCCCAGTCGAGATACCTGCATTAATAAGAGCTTAACACAAAGCATAAATAAATATAAACACATAGAGTGTGTTGATAAATGCATCATGTATTATGGTAGTAATGCTTAAATAACACATATTGGTGGCAAAAGGTGCAAAGGGTCACCAGGTGAGCACATCTCCGGGGGCTTACAGTGTCTGGATGAGGTTCTGGCATTTCCAGGATGGGGCAGGATCCAGGTGCTTCAGGAATAACGTGGCCCAGGAGCCGGCATCAGCTGGGGAAAGCCCTTCGAGCCGCATCACATCACCACGATGGCATGTGCCATTCCTTCGCTGCAACTATTCTTCATAGGCTCATTGACCTGAAACTAAACCCTTGGGAAAGCCGAGGTTCAAGGCAGCCTTTGTCTGTCTGACTCCAAACCAGGAGAGATGGGACTCCAGGGGAAGGGGCAGACGTGGGGGGGAAGCCAGCTTGCCATCCCCATGGATGTTTTTAGGGGATTAAGAGGGGCACGATCGCTCTCCAGGCCTGTCTCAAGGTTTAAGAATTACCTGGAGGGCCCGCTGGAATCCATTTTTGGATGACTGGAGATTTTTTCCTATCCGCAGTGACAGAAAGTGAGTCCAGCGGCCTGGAAACGCCCCTCGAGCTGTCAGAAGAATGATGGTTGCTCTCTGCGGCTCGGTGGAAAGCTGACCCACAGCATGTTCCAGCAGGAGCTGGGGGGCAGCTTGGCCCCTCTGCCCATCGTCATGGGCATGTCTGCCATGGGGGAGGCTAGGGACAGGGGACACCCCGCCATGGGAGGTTCATCGAGCTGGTCTCTGGTTGCTCCACCACTTGGGTGGAACAGGGGAAGAGGAGGAAGCAGGGGGAGAGTCCTGCCTTTCCCTGGGGTTTATTGTTGCTGCCTCTGATCTCCTGGAAATGCCCCAATTTAGCACCAGGAAGGTGGTATTGGAGAGGAGCAGTTTGGGTTCCCACCACTTCATCTCCCCAAGCCTGGAGGGAACCGCTTCTCCCAAGGGGCTGGCTGGTAACTAGAAAGACTGGAAGGAGAAAGAACCAGAGTTTTGGGGGCTACAAGGGGCTCTAACTCCCTCCACAGCATCACCCCAGCTGGAGGAAGATGTGTAGCTTGATGGAAAGTCTTTCCCAGCCCCGTAGCTGGAGGGCAGGCGTTGGCACCACTGCCACAAGTGACATTTGCTCTGCCTTTCAGTTGTTTCTTTTAAAATTTCTTAGGTGCTTTCCCCTAGTTGCTGTTTTTATTGCCAGTATCCCCGGATGAAGAAAACAGAGGAGCAGTAACGCAGACCTTTCTATCTGCTAACGAAATCTCCTGATGGTTGGTTTTGTTTTTTTTTTTCTTCCTGAAGGTGTCTGGCCACGGGTGAGGGGCTGGGACTGGAGCAGGAGAGGGAGCACGGCTTAAGGCCAAGGCCATCCCAGACAGCGCTGCTGCCCACTGGAGCGTGGACCGGGTCAAGCAACGGTAGGCACAGAGCCTCTTATTTCTCCCCAGTTGGAAAATCGCCGAGCATGGTGCCAAATGTTTTCTCTGCTGCGCTCTCGTGCCCCGAGATTAGGAGCAGGGCTTTGCTTGTGAGGTTTTGTTTGCTTGAAGGCACCCCCAACACCTCTGGCTGCTCCCTGATCCCTGCCGCCATAACGGCTGCACCATCCCTTCCCTGGTTACGTATCTCTATGTTCTTACGACATGATGCTATGTATAGAGCGCGCCACGGTTGTACTGCGCCTTCCAAAATAATTCCTCTGTAGAAACCCAAGTGTTCAGCCTGGGAAAGCCAGCACTGGGATCCCACACTCGGAAAGCGGGGAATGCCTCGGGCATCACGGAGATCTTGGCCATCGAGGTTGTGTGTGTGTGTGACACTGTGCTGTGTTTCCATGTTTTCTGGAGGCTCCAGGAGAGAGCAGAGCTCCAAGTGCATGGGACACGCTCCCTGCCTTCCCTTCGTTTTTGGTGTTGGTAAGATGCTGTTGTAGTCCAGAGTCGGACTTAATTTTTTCATACGCTGTATCTTTGCAAAACCAACATCTCAGGCTGTGATAGACTGGTTTCCAAATTCAGGATTTTATGGCAATTTCCTGACAGGAAAAAAAAAAAGGGGGGGGGGAAATCATTGTAGAAGCTGAACAACACTGAGCAGTCTTCCAGTAAGGGGTGCTCCTAAGCAACCCTACAATAACAGAGGGAAGAGAGGTGCCCGCAGCCTGGGAAGAGAGGAGCAGCATGTGCTGCGCAAAGGTTTTCACCGACCCTCTGTGTTTGGGCAGGTCTTGTGGGTGACCCTGAAATAACCCACAAAACCAGTATGCAGTTGGGAACGGGATATAAAGAACGTTGCAAAAGAGAAACATATTTCACCTTCCAGCTTCTGGGGAGTTGGAAATAACATGGAAAAAGATGCCGTTAGTTAATACTGATGAATGATCCCCTGACAGGACCATTAATCAACGCTAATCATTGAAATGTTTTTGGGAGCGGAGATCTGTATGCACTGCGTTTGATTCCTGTATAGAATAAATGGCTTTCTCGGTTTCTTCTATGGAGTTTAACAAGCATCCAGTGGCCAGCTGTTTTCTGGACCGTCTAACGGCTCAGGAAAATCCAGAGGGCCCAGCAGAGGTTTTGCTGGCATTGAGAGCTTGAGTTCGTGCTTCTGACAGCAGCGGCAGGAGTCGGAGGCACATCCCCCCTGGCTCTTGGGGTGATTTTACCTGGGCTTTTTAGTTCTGTCTTTTATTTATTTCCTCTTGCTGAGCATGTGCGCTCGCAGGCCGGGCATCTCTTTGGTACAGACTCGCGGTTCGGAGGGGATGATTTGTTCCCTTGCATTTCCGAGCGATCGCTCCATGAACGATCCTTCCTGCAGGGGCTCGGCAGCAATTCTGCATCCACACCCACACACCCCCCCAAAAAAACCCGCTGTGTTTGGATGTGTAAAGGGCCCTTGCTTGTTCCTATCAGGAAAATTACTCTTCCGCTTACCCGCTTTGCAAAGCTGTTTGTGTAGCGCAGGCGTGACAGAAAAGATTGGCTCGAGTGCTTTATTCGGCGCGTGTCCTGTTAAAACCCATTAAGCTCCCCATCCAGGAGACCAAAGAGCGATTCGAGGTCAAAAACTCCCGCTGCCTAACTGGCCAGTTCCCATTTTATGGGTCCCACAAGTCCCACGGCCACCTTTGCAGGCAGAGGGCTGCAAATGGCAACCACCACCACCGAGCCCAGCTGGAGGACCTCTCCATGCAAGAGCTCACAACTGGTTTCCAGGACATTGGGTTTACGCAACGGCTGAAAAGTTGTGTGCACTTTTGGTAGGGATCTTCTTGCAGCGGCAAAACTAATGTGAAATTCGTCAGCGAGAACTGAACCCTGGGTCAGCTGTTTGTAAAAAAAGAAAAAAAAAATGCAGACTCTTGCCAAGCTGATAGAAAGGAAAACAGGAGGGGGATAAAAATTCGTATCCCATTTTATACCGCAGAGTTGCAAATGGTTGACAAGGATGCTCGTGCACCCAAGCCACCGCGCTTTGCAATTAGGGCGACTAATTGCAGTAACGGGAGGTGAAACGCAAGGGCCAGCCAGCAGCCAAGGGCTGGCCCATGGCCGTCGAGAGTTATACCAACCGCGGCCAGCATTGAAACATTTTATAGTGGTGTTGGGACCAGAAGAGTAGGAAATGAGAGAAGGCAAATGCATACGAACGGCCTTGGAAATCCCCTCACCACTGCGGCGTTACCTTCCCAACCAGCTCCTCACCCCTGCCCGCACCCTTCTGAAAGAGCCTTTATATACGTTATGTGTCAGCAAAGGCTCGTATTTGTTTTCTTCTCTTTGTCTCAGTGCTTCAGATAACTTTTTGCTGCGCAATTCCCGACGTTTATTTTTTTCTCCCTAAGAGCCAATAGCTAAATATATTCCCAACCTCAACACTTGGATTTTTGCTGTTTATTTAACGACCTTCACTCACTTCAGGATGATTAAGTTCATCTGCGTCTGGGTGTTTTGGTTAGCATCAAATTCCCTTTATTTTGGGAAGTTCATTTCCACACCATGCTTTCTCCCAGTTGCCTTCCTGTAAGTGAGGAGGGTGGGTTTTGATCCAGGTCTCCCCTCTTCCCCACTCCAGTTTTGCAATTTTTCCTTCCTGGCTTGCAACCGGCTTTCCAGTTCTGCCTCTCAGAGCGTGAAAATCCACCCTGGAAAGAGACACTTTCTCCAGCAAAACTGAAACTTGCTGGGGGAGCCGATGCTGCCATGGGGAAGGTGCTCGAGACCTGCATCCCTCCATCACGTCACCTGCTTGGGACACCCCCAAAATCCAGCCCTTTGCAGAACATCCTTGCTGCCACCATCAAGGTGATGGTGGTGGCTCTCGTTGCACGTGCGCCGAGGCAAGGGCTCACTTGGCCACTGTCCATCTGTTTTAGCAAAGGGTGACTCAAAGCGTGAGGTGGCGTTTGGGATGTGTGCATGGGTGGGGTTTTTTGGGTTGGCTTGTTGGTTTTTTTTTCCTCCTTTGTGGCCTGGTGTCCAGTTGAGGCCCCACGGTGGGCGGCCGCGCGGCTGGGAGGGAGAGCGGGGCTCAGCCCTGCAACAGCAACCGAAACGCTCCACCTGGAGGTGAAAGCAAATTATAACGGGGGCTCAGTGGCCAGCTGGAATTTGTAGATCAGCAGCCAAACCAAAAAAAAAAGCGAAGGGTGTGGGTATTTACCTTGTGTTGACCCAAACCCAAGATTCTATCGAGGAAAAGAATCCGTGATTGAAAAGAAAAGCGACGTGGACGCATGCGAAGCCCAGAGTGAGGATTTGAATTAAAGGATCTCCCCTCCCAGGGTGCAGGTTTCTTCTGAGCTGGGTGGCTGAAGCTTTTTTCCTCCTGCCTCTGCATCTCTGGGCGAGCCGCTTCTCTCCTGGCCCCTAAGCATCCACCTCCTCGTCCGATTTTACTCATCTCAAACATACGTCTTAAATATCCCGCTGAACTCCTCGTGTTCACCATTCAACCTGCTCCCCGACAGCTTAGGGTTTGCAGAAACAGCATTTTTCAGTTATGAGCAATTTACTAAAATGAAGTCACCCGGGCTAATTAGAGCTACAATTCCAAGAGCTTGGGACCTTGGGGAGAGCTGGGACTGTGTTTGAGGCAATATCTATGTATTTTGGAATCGCAGCTCCTTGCTAGCTCAGATGAACACCGAATTGCACGAGCTGGTGATCTGATCCACCGGGCATTTCCACTGTTCCTGCAACCCAAAAAAAAAAAAATACACACAACCCAACCTCCATGGTCTCTGGGGATATTTTGCACGTAAATATTGCTCCGAGGGAAATTGGTGCTGAATATATGTGGAAAATAACCAAAACCCATAGTCATATATCTTGCAAGACTTACAGGAAATTAGCACAAGTGAATTACCCCAAACAAAATTACCCTGCCGCAGAGCACATGCGTTCCAAGGAAGAATTTGAAAATCATTTGAGAAGGCTTTTTTTTTTTCTTTGTAAAGCTAATGGATCTCATAATTTTGCACAGCCCTATTGGAAATAGGAAAGAACCTGCCTGGTCCAATTAAGAATTAGAAGTAGAGCAGCAACAGGGAGAAAGATTTCTATTTTAAAAAAAAAAAAAAAGTGATTTTGTTCTTAAGCCTCATGAAATCCTGCCGAATTGGGAATTCTCTCCGACACAGTCATTTGCTGGTGCTCGGTGCCAAGACTTGACTTAAAAATGCCCCGTGCCGGGGTGGGGGGGGAGGGCGGGCTGGGAGAGGCGCCCGGGCGATGGGCAGCGCGGGGCAGCTCTCACAGAAACCAAGGACCCGTTCTCCAAAACACGAGGGAAAGCACAGCCGCTCATTTTAGCACCCTTCAGTCTTTACTGCTGTCTCGGGAAGCAGGAAATTCCTATCCCTATGGGGGAAGCACAAAGTTCAGTCAGACAAACGGAGGATAAAAGATTCTAGGAAAACGCCCTCGATCCTGATGGATTCAGCGGCCTCTCGTTAGGCGATCATTTATCGTCACAAGGCTACGGCGTGGTTTTGGAGCGGAGGTATCTGATGGATCAAAGCAAACTGGTCCAGCTGGAGGGTTTGGAGGTGTAACTGGCACTTCTGCCCGGTGTTGTCTGGGGAAGATGCTTCTGCCCTGAGCCCCGGCTGCGGAGAGGCCGCGCTTTTCTCAAATGACCCTTTGGGTTATTGTAAAAATTGAGGAACCGGCTTCAGAATAGGCTCGGGCTTTCAAGTTTATTAGCTGTGTTTTCAAGCTGGGCTCTGCTTCCTTCTGCTGGAGCGCACGCGCCGCCCTCGGGCTTTATTCTCCTTGCCGCCTCCTGCCGTCCGTAATGAGCTGGCAGAGGGGAGGGAAGGAAAGGTCAAACTCCCTCGGCATCAGGTGCGCCGGGGGGCGCCTGGAAAATAGATCCCTGTCGTCGTGGGAGCCGAAGCACTGCGCTCGGC